TCCACACAGACTGGATTCCATAAAGGACACCTTTTTCTGGAGAAGTGAGTCTGCAACCTATTCCTCCAATTCAAGCCAAAGAATCTAATTTCCCACTGAGCATGAACTAACCGCAGTGTCTTCCCCTCACTTTCCAGTTCCGGTTTGACGGTGTTCAGAGCAGCACTGGACTCATCTCAATATTCCAAATAAACCTGTTAAACTTTTCCCTGGTCTCTCTGTTTGGTCTTCTGCATTTTGGGTCAGACCTTTAGAAAAGATCATGACAGTATGTGCCATGAAACTGATGGACATTCATGAGCCTGTTGGAACTGAAGGGGACATCTCCCACCCCCTCACTTATAAAACATGCAGATATATCTGCAGCCTCAGAGCGTTTGATGTATTTAAATGTTTACGTTCAGCAGAGGTTAATGTGGTTATTAGAATAATATAATTCTGACATTTTTACAAAATTAAGTGAATGATTCATAAAAATGACTCAGTAAGAAATAGAATTTTATCTAAAGGCTACTGGAGCAACGACTGATCATAACGTCTGATTACATTTGAAAATAATCTATAATTACTAAACTCTCCATAAATCTGTGTGTTTTAAAGACTAATGGAAATGAAATGCACAAATAAAAATTAAAGCAGGAAGGTGGGTAATGATCATATTGTCATTAAACTGCTCATTTTGATGCTTGCATTTGCACATTTTAACTCTTTCCCATCTGCAAGTCCACAGTGTCTGAGAGGAGTTGATTTACTATCAGAAAGCAATGCCTCCCATAACAGACCAGACTCTTCAATGTTTATTCATAAACTTTTATTGTTCTGCAGCTGTCTGTAATTTGCATGAACTAAATTGTTTGTGGAGACCTCCACAGGTCTGTGCAGACTTTAAGTCGGTGAAAAAACCCTGTCTAGGCAGAAGAGAGCAGAACTTCAAGCTGTGAATGCTAAGATTGTCTTGTTCTCATTTCTTTGCAAGACATAAATAAAGTGTAGACCCAATGAAATCCATTAATCTCCTTTATTTAACTGGATTGCAAAGTTATTTTTTTTTCATACGACAATAATAATGAGAAGTTGTCTTCTGAACCTAATGTTAGAACCAGCCTTTATGAAGTGTGCTGGTCCTGCTCTCAACCAGAGGGCTCTGGTTATGTCTCTGATGTCATATCATTATTGTGTCTGCAGGAAAGTGTGCTATTTGTGCCTAGTTTTATAGAAGAATTATTTGATAAGTATAAAGCGCTCTTATTTAGATGATTCAGGACATCACGTCACTTCCTAGGAATCAAGTCTTCTCTGTAGTTAATGCAGGTTGTTCGTAATGTGGATCAGTCTTGTGTGCGTTCATGCCTAAAATACCACACACACCCACACACCTTGTTATTATCCAGTTCATCATTAATTTTTGCATAAAAGTCTCTCCTTGCTTATACTCTCTGATCGGAGTCCCTGCTGTCAGATCAGCAAATAACACCCAGGGTCCCCACTCTATCACAGTGTCCATATCATTATTTGTATTAAAAAAATCATTCATTTAAATGAAAAGATTGGGTAAACCTTAAAACTACTCAAATGATATTTGGAGCTTTAAAAATATCGTTCCTTACAGGAAGGACTCTGCATCAAAGGGAGAAATCAATCTGGCAACAGGTCAGAACCACCTCTGCAGCTCAGTGGTTTCATGGAACACGTTATTTTAATATCCACCGATATAAAAAGATTGTAAATCCGCAGAGGAGATCGATGCCCTTAGCTAAGCACAGAGAGATCCAGAATACAGGGAGACCCCCTTGACACCCCAACCCAGTCTCTCTTTAACATTAAAGGTTCAAACATCTTTGATCTTCAGTCAGTGAAGTAACTTCCTAATATCACATGAGAAAAACTGATTTAAATAACTTACTGATGTAAAACTAACTAGTTACCATGGCTACCCACATCTGCTCATGTTTCACTCCTTACCCAGTTTTGATGAAGTTTCCCCAGTAAGACATCATAGTCCTACAGAAGCTCTCATCCTCCTTAGTGATGTTGCCTGAAGACAGAGAGAGAAGAGTTTGACCCACGGAAAGAAAGNCCCAGTAAGACATCATAGTCCTACAGAAGCTCTCATCCTCCTTAGTGATGTTGCCTGAAGACAGAGAGAGAAGAGTTTGACCCACGGAAAGAAAGTCTGGACTCACCAACCAGAACTCTCAGACCTTTTACAAACAGTGAGATTCATTCATTCATTTATTTTAGTGTTGCGCTGATGCCATTTTTTGGCCCTGATGCCAATATTTGATACCTGGCTGTGCAGTATTGGCCAATACTGATACCATCTGTTAGAAATTGATGTGTGTGTGTATATATGAAGAACTGCAAACTACTTGGATGTAAAATAATTGCCATCATAGCTTTATCAAGCTGCTGCCTACCTTTGAGAAGCAGGAAAAAGACTAATACAAATGAAACCAGTAGAACTTTTCATTGCCTTCCTGGAATGGGTGACAATAGTTGAATAAACTTTTCAAAATGGTATCTTTGCCCTATTTGTTGGTACTCGCCGATACCGATACCACCATTTTAGTGCTGGATCGGGGCCCCGGCTGACACTGGTATCGGTATGTAACACTAATTTATTAATTTATTTTATCAGATTCCAAGGTGATGATGTCATTAAATCACCAGTGGAGTCCAACCCTGTGAAAATATATGAAGCTTGTTAGATTTACACCAGCTTCATGTCCAGAGTGATTTCTGTCTCCTTTCACTGTGCGTCTCTGGCTGCCTTTAGACTTACAGCTTTCTGTCAAATCAGAGTTCAGAAAGGATGCACCCAACCTCTTACTGACTTCAATTCAGTCCAAAGTGTGTCCAAAGTGGGGACCGGGGACCCTTTTCAGCCCTTAGAAAAATCAACTGGTTTTACTGACTCTTGATCAGATCGAGAATATAACTAACTAACTTACTAACTTAGCAGCTCAGGAAGGGTTTGCCTTCTTTGCCGTTGTGTTTATTGTATTCTTTGTTTTTTTTCCCCCTATAAGAGTAAGTTAGCTTTTTTACCAACATTATCTCCTGTAAATGAAACCTTTTTGTAGTCATCATGTTATTCAGTTTCCCTGATATCTTGTTTCTCCTCTCTGTCATCCCCAGATTTCCCTGCTGTGGGACAGTAAACAGCATATCAGCAGCAGACATTAGCATGTT